TGAGCTTATGTAGAGAACGGTGGGAATGAGAAGAGAGAGCGAGAACGCCGGTGTAAATAAGTTCTGGTCTCAGCTTATCCACCCCAAATATTTGGGCCATCGAGGTCGAACTGAATACCAATATCGTCACTTTTCGGCACGCGATGGCAGGGAACGGGTGGCGAGGAATACCTTAGATTTTCTCGTCTCAGAGTTAAGATCAATTGCATTTAGTGTAGTGTTGTTGTTGTTTTATTAAGGTCCTTAGCTAAAGCTCTTCATCCATCTATGGGATACAGGGTCGGTAGAGCTGGCAGGGATTCCTGTGTTCTTTTCTACAGCCCACTCATTCCAACCGAGTGAGTCGCTATCAAAATTACGGTAGATTATGTAAAGTCCAAAAGCAAGAATATGAAAAAAATTAAAAAAGCATAAATATACCCCTAAAGTCAGAAGATTCCCACACATTGAGCCCAAACAATGCGCTCTTTACAAATTACTTCGCCCGCCTCACCTTCTAGATGACAACTTTTCCGATCTATGCTGAGAGAAAGAGATGGGTTAGCGGTTACCATTGATACGGCTGGTAGCCTGCTATTGGTTAATAATCGCCTTTAGGGCGTCGTCGAGGCCGCCGTCTCCTCAGACTTCTTCTTCGGACTCCAGAACTCCGAAGCCCGATACTTCCACCATCGGGACGTCCTTGTTGAGGCTATAATTACCTCACCTGCCCTTTTGGCCGCAGCTCTTGCTCGAGCTGCTTCTGTAAACCTCCCTTGCTTGACTTTTCGAATTACCATGACCTGCTCTTTCACCATCGGGCCAAATCTATTTGGTCTGGCTCGTCAGTCTCGTGAGTCCGATCGACGAGGTACTCCACAATTTCGACATCTGGTGGAGGCCTTGCACTCTTCAGAGTGCATTATTGAGCCAAAATTCCGACATGCCGGAGCGCGGGAGCAACCACGCGTGGCGTGGAAGCCGAGGCAGCAGTAGCACTTCTTGATTCATTGTCGAGGCTATAGCTTGTTAGCCAAACTAGACTCTTCAAAGAGGCGGAAGCCCGAGTGAAAAGAGCAACCCGGTTGCGGTATGGTGCATCATGACGGTGCGTTCCATGGGTCGCACATCGGTTGGCGGAAGCCCAGTGTGTCGGAGGATCTCGCTTGTGACCTCCCAGTCCGTGACCATTACCGGGCCGCGTTTTAGTATAATATTTACGGCAACATCTGGTCACCGTAAGGTACCTAGATCCCAAGCCTCTTCAATTTTGGAGTTTATACTCTCCAGGTTCGGAGAGGCATCCAGGATCTTCAGTCTCAATTCTTCATCGGGTGTCGCGATTGCGAAACCGGTCCCGCCTCGGTGTACATAGTCAGCCATAAATACGCTGCAAACGGTTTGCACATGCATTGCATTTCGTACAGCCTGGTGAGATAAATCCCTCCAAAGATGGTTGCTCCCAAGGCGAATGAAAAGTCGTTTTCGACTCCCACCTTCGGTGCGTCTTTTTTAGAGGCTTCGGCCGCAGGTCGCGGCACAGCCTTTACAGTAAGGACTACTTTTTGTCGCAGTATATTTTTGGCAAGCGTAGCCCAGGTGCTTTTTGGAGGCTACGCTGGGACGGCGGTTATTGGTGTTCTCCTGGCGTCAGGAGCTCTCGAAAGAGGGTTTGGTGGGCGAGGAGGAAGGACGGGTGGCGTAGTGGCCATATATTGCGCAATGGCAGCGCGTAGGTAGACTCTCATGAAGTCTACGAATAGTCTGTTTGACCCGTTGGTCAAAGGGAGGAGGGTGGCTTCGACGCCAGAGATGGCGGCGGAACAGAGTGCCAGATATGCCGCTGTTTCGGCGGCGCGCCGTTCTTCGACCTCGAGGATCGGTCGAAGTTTTAAAGGGCATTATGCTTAGGTGACAGCTTGAGGCTGCGACTTTTTCGTCGAAGCTGCTTTCGGTGCAGTTTTCTCCGACAGTTTGGGTTCGGTCGGAGGAGATTTTGAAGATTCTCTAATCCCGTGGGGGAGGGAGGATGGTTGAGGAACTTCATCAACACTTTCAACTGACCCTATCATATCAGTATCGGGCTTGTTGACGCTGTGAAGGGCTTTTCCTTCCCTTTTGAAACGGCCAGACCCATATCCGCGCATTTCGAAGACTGGGCAAGGCCATGAAGTTTTGAGAGAGCCCTCGGGCGGACTCTCGAGTTGTTTAACTTTGTGTTGGGAAGCTTTTTTCGAGCAGGTGGCATGATGAAAATGCCATCGACTCAATCAAAATTTACTGACAGAATGCGACGAGCGCGAGAGACAACAAGAGAGGGAAAGAGTGAAGATTCGAAAATTTGAATTCCAAAAAAATTCTCTGTGTGTGTTTCTATTGTGCTACTTGAGCCATAGACTATCTAGTACATTGGGCCCTTTTATGACCCAGGCCACACCTTATGCAGTGCTCCTTGCCTCTTATATTTCTTGAAAGTTATATTTTTTTGCATCAGATTTTAGTTTCGTATGCAGCTATCTAGCTATGACACAATATCAAAGAAAAGTATAGAATAGATGATTCAACGTAAAGGAAGAGCACCCATCCCTCGGATTTCATTTGCAAGTACCACTGCGAAGTTATGGTGGCGTTTTCTTCACCCCAAGTCAACCCTCATCCGTGAATACCCACTCAGGGAACGTCCCAAAAACCCTGGGTTATCCAGACATGCCTCCATCATCCATCACCTTTTCTCCGCGCGATATGTGATTTGAGGAGTCTCTTTCCCAAGTGGAGTAGGTGCTTAGGCTACTCAAACTACACCAGAGAACACCACCAGGAGGCGGAACACGGCACCTTCCATCTTTGGCTTGTGTTTACAGTGTCAGCTGCACTCTCGCAAGCCAAGTCTTGGCGCGCATAAAGCCCAATTTGTAAAACTCTTGTCAAGATTCAAGATCATACGCCGGTCGATACTGTAACCATCCTCCGTGTCATCTTGTAATCTTGTCCTGATCCCTCTCACATCAATCTTAAAGATTTGTCTCCCAGGTTTGTGCGCCACGCTTTGCTTCCTCCGGCGGGTGTAAATGTCGGCGTGGGCGTGTAATTGGTGACCAGCTGAGGCCAGAGAAGGTCGAAGAGTGGTGTGGTCATTGGAATGAGGATATACTTGGTCGTACTTGTAGACTCGATAAGACGAAGATAGGGGTCAAACTCGTTGGGAACGAAATAACGAAGTGGATGAGTAATTTGGATTTTTGCCTCGTGGGCCAACTTCTTTGATATTGCGAAATTTGACTGAACTTGGCTCAGGGAGAATATTTCACTCCCAGGTTCGTAGAGGACACCGCGTACAGGTGTTCAGTCTTGCTCTCCTCTTGAAAGATCATTCATATAATAATAATAATAATTCATTATCCTGATTTGGCGCCTTGAGGCCCATGCAGGTTTTTATTGGAAGATATGTATACTTGAAGTAGGATGACACAATTTGAAGTTTAGAACGCTCACACTCAAATTTCTTTTGCAGATACCACTTGAGGTTAACCCTTACGGCGTATAACCTCTTCCATGCATACCCACCACAGGGAAAAGCGTGAAAACCCCATGGCTATCCGAGTGAGCTTTCATTATCCCACGAGCACAATATCACCGCGAGAGAGTGTGTGGTGTGTGGATCTTTCTAGATTCGAATCAGCTTCCTCCCGTCTCAAATGGGGTAGGCATTCAAACTACCCAGGATCTACCTGGGAGAACGGCCCGGATGGTATACCACTGCACCATCCAACCCAGATCATTGATATTTTGCCCGTGATGAAAAGCCATTCAGCTCAGTATTTACCCATGGAATCTTGTCACCTTTTCCACAGAACCTTCTATACAAAAAAATAGAAAAAAAGTAGGATTGGAAACTGCGTGCACGGGAAAAAGTGTCGAAAAACCTGTAGCCCCAGCTAGGCGAGGCCTAGACACTGGGACCACATGAGGTGCGCATATTCATCTGTCTCCTTTCTTTGTAACATTCGAGGCCGACTTGATCCAATCCACCATCTCCGTATCCGGTGCTGGGTACGCTCCGGGAACTCATCGGATTGCTTTTCCTCCATGATCAAGAGTTGGTGATGAGAAGGGCTTCGACCCTACCATCTGATCTAATCGTGGTTAGCTTCATGATAGAGATGATAGGGGAATGTGTTGAGAGATGAAAAAGATACTGACCGCGAAAGCGATTGGGAATCCTCCTCGAAGTGTGGACTTTGTTACCCAATCTTGGCTCTGCAGACTCTACAGTAAGAGCCAAAGGTTCGTAGGGGGCACTACAGAGAGATGTTGAATATAGTCCCCTAGAGCTTTCTTAATGAAAGGCATTGTGTTTGATATTCATTTGCGATAGTTCCGGCGACGCTATAAACACCGCCATATCTACCTGCATAGATGTTCATTTTACAGGCCGATCGGTCAAGAAGAGTTAGGATAGCTTGAATTCCTAACCCACTCGGGACAGTAGATGGCTGGTTTGAATCCGGCAAAAGACAATAACATTTGTCGCGGCGCTAGTACATATGGATGACGAAGGCATGCTTGGATAATCTCTGTTTTTGTAACTTCCATTGCGTGGGTGTTTAGGTAGGAGGGTTGAATGCTCTGCGTTGTCAAACAGACCTGGTAATGATATTTGCAAATGAAATACAGGGTATGAATGTCTCTGAAGCCAAGAGTCATCTTACATTTACATGTAGCAAGTGTTGTGCTTCATAGATAGATATTGGAATGTGCAATAATTATTTTAAACAAAAATCCGTATCTCTTGTAAGTTTTAGATGGTATCTATCTGCAGGAGGATACTGATTATATATCTTCTATGTGAAGTGGCTAAATAGCTATCTGTGGATATCTCATCTGGTAGTCGGAAGCTTATCACGTGGTCGACGCTGCCAATGGGAAACACGATTGTCCCAAACCCATCCTGAGGCCACAATGTCAGAATAGAGTCCGAAGACGCCATCTGACGTCCGCCGACCCATACCGGGCCACTAATCATGACATCGTCAGCACAAACAAATGATCAACATTCCAGAAAACCAGTAACTAGTATCAAAGGATTCTGTCTTGGAGGAGGTACTAAGGTAGTGACGACGCTGGGGAAACGTCGGCGTCTAAACGCTGCCGACGAAAGTGACTCTGACAATGCACCCGACAGCTGCCGTGAGCAGCACCAGGCCGTCAGTGGGTTCGGAGAAGAGGGCGCAATTCCTGTAGTAACGACGACGACGACGACGAAAACAACAGGCCCGCTTGTAATTGCGCGGTTGGAGAATCGCGACTGGAAGAGCGCGGCGCGCATCCGACGGCACGGTGGGCAGCTTGTCACGCATACCACAGCGCCCTCAACAACAGCTATAGATATTAAACAAGATGAGACCGAAAGAGACTTAAGTGATGCAGAGAAAATACAGTGGGGTCTCAGCGTGCATCCTCGGAGGCCTGGGAGAGATATTGACACAGCTGGCCAGCAAACCACGACTCCCTCTACCATAACCTGCCCCCTCACGCCGGCCTCAAGTAAGGCTATCCAAAAATCTTCTAGCCTCGAGGAAGAAGCACTCGAAGCTCTTTTGAGCCATGACGAAGTGGTTAAACGGCCAGAACTCATTATCGCGACCGAACTGGCATCCGCGAATTCATACACAATTTCGGAACACGATGCATTCAAGCAGGCCGTAGCAGCTGCACCCGACGTCTCGTCGCTGGAAGACTATGAGCGAGTCCCGGTAGAGGAATTTGGAGCTGCCTTGCTGCGAGGTATGGGCTGGAATGGGGAGAAAGTAGAGAGAGTAAGGGATATCAAACGCCGACAAAATTTACTAGGACTTGGAGCCAAGGAATTAAAAGAAGCGGAAGAATTGGGCGCATGGGTTAATAAGAGCGATACGAAGAGACTGAATGCCGCTAGTGCTCGGCGGCACGATGGGAAGCCCCGGCCCCCGAAGACCGGTGACTACTGGCGGGAAGAAGAACAAAGAAGAGAGCGCCGGGAAGAGAGGAGCGGAGGAAGTTATAGAAGAGGAGGGGAATATGAGAAAGACTACCGTCGCGAAGCATATCAAGATAGGTATCGAGATCGGAAGAGGTAGGGAGGGATATTTTACGGAAGATGAGCTACATCATGTCAATATCTGTGTCCGCTATCATCGTCAGTCATTTCAGCGGCCCGAGAAACGTTGAAATCTCGAGCCATAGACACTAATGAGCCGCGCCATAACTAAGTTTGAATTTCAAAGACTACCTAAATATTTTGAGCCTCAGCTGCTTATTATAGCCTCGATATGGTGCATAAGAGCAAACGGGGGGCAGCAAGTCTAGCCGACACATGCCATAAACTCGGCGTTAGAGACGCATGTCTAGTGCTGGACTTCAGATAGTCGAGAAAGCAAGAGCGACATAGATTGCAGTAAAGATAAAACCAGCTTTCCTGCACTTTTTGTGACTTTGATATCTTTCGCTAAAGCTTGGAAAAACCTTTGTAGAGGGAACTCATGAATCGTGGGATCAAAGCTTTGTATACATCCAGCTTCTTTGTGCCATATGACCCATAAGCAACAGGTTATCAGTACAGGCTGAAATGATCGAGCTATACAATTGGATACGCTCGAGGGGTACGAGACCAGAATCAAAATGGCTTCTATTACCCAGTCGCCGCATCTCTTCCATTCTCGCCTGACTTGCATTCCCAAAAATAGGTCTGTTCCTGGCCCTCAGACCCCACTCCATGAATATTTCGTCTCATGGATCTCTATCCCGAGACAAGTTAAGGAGGATATTGGCTGCATTAAACATTGCAGGTTAGAGCATCTACTTAGTCGGTTGTTAATATGCGAGGCGGAGACAAAGTTAGGTATTGGGTGTAGCCCGATAATAAGCAAGTTTTAAGTCGGGTTATGAGTTTGGTAAGCTATTCTTAACGAAAGAGATCTATAGATAGCACTAGTAAGCCTCTACGGCTCATAATACGCGACAGTCGAAGCTTAGATAGAATCCTTCGCTTTAATTTACAGCCTCTTCAACCTCTTATTCCTCTCCATGGCATAAGTCGGAAGAAGCAGCAATTTAGACCCCGAATTGATGATTCCCATAAGCCGTTGTTAACAAGAGAGTCCATACCTACATCTATGCTCAGAGGACAATCTTGTTCAACTTCCGGTCCCCTCAAGAACCTCACACCGTAAATTCCTAGGTCTTTTCTATATTTAGGGACGTCTTCACTAGTTTGTAGAGAACCATTCGACTTTCCTTCTTTTCCATCGTTGATCAAGAACGGAAGAACAAGAGTAGGATTTGCTGTATAAAATTCAGCTCCTCTTCGCTGTACTATCAGCAGGATTAAAATTCAGAGTATAACCATTCTCCATGTTGTTTTCTGGTGATGTATTAGGATACCTTTGGTACATGTCAGTTTTTACCCCTCTCTATCCATCTCCCAAGGCCTTTAGCATCAGCAACCTCCGAGAGAGCTAGGCTGGAACCCCTTAGACTCTTAGTGCATTCAAAAATGAGAAAAACTGGCACGAGAGTTAGTGCCAAGGAAACAAGGCGTTCAGGCAAAGCAGTCACATGATATATGGATATGTCTAAATGCACGCTAACGCGTCCGTAAATAATTATAAGTTTCATAGTACTAAATACTTTCCTCAGTGTAGACAATCTAATTCACCAGATCAGACATCGTCGGTCCCCATCCACCTCACTCCCTACTGTGACAGTTAGAGGATAGAGAGAACTTCGGGGTGAGAATTGCCTCAAAACGGAGAAGAAGTTCAGTTTGCTTAATTAGCTAATAGACCACAGCCATTATGATATAAACAAGGAATTACCAAATTTTCATAGCTAAATAGCTGAAAACAATATGAATTAAAAAAAGTAATTATAACGGAGAGAGTGTATCCGACGCCGACTAGACTTTTTTTTTTGGCATCAGATTTTAATTGCGTATGCAGCTATCTAGCTATGACACAATATCAAAGAAAAGTATAGAATAGATGATTCAACGTAAAGGAAGAGCACCCATCCCTCGGATTTCATTTGCAAGTACCACTGCGAAGTTATGGTGGCGTTTTCTTCACCCCAAGTCAACCCTCATCCGTGAATACCCACCCAGGAGAACGTCCCAAAAACCCTGGGTTATCCAGACATGCCTCCATCATCCATTGACTTTTATCCGCTCGAAATGTGAGAAATTTTACTCTTGACCCAATAATTTACACCCCTTTATTATTCTCCCTTTGACTTCAAGCCCACTAACGTCAGCAAATTAGTTTACTAAGAATCAGCTGATGCCGACAATTTTTCAATTACTGAATGCGTATTCAGCTTTATACTTATAACACATGATAGATTCATTGCATACATTGTAAAAATCTTCTGGCTCCAGAGACACCTTTTCTAGAATTAACTCGCAAATATCACAATGAGGCATGTTTTTTTAATTCAAAACTAGCCAGCCTTCATCTTTTAACACCCACCAAAGAAAGTGCCAGGCCCTATGATTATTAAAGCATACCTTTGTGTATCTTACATTGTATAGGATTACACCTCTGGACTCTTACTATCATATAATAATTGTATGGGCAACAGCAAGCCCGTTGAGTAGTTTCTCTTATGTATCCCCCCAAATTCTAGCTAACAAACAGAATATTTACGGTATGAGATGAAGTAACAAATAAGTGGGTCTTTACATGCTAAACTCAATTAACCTCAGATTCACACCTTCATCGTGACAGACACAAGCATCGCGATTAATTTGGGCCATTCACGGATGTGAATATCTTAGCGCAACTAAGAATCCAAAGACTAATCTAGCCTTCAACCTCTTGGGTAACATGATCTTCGACAATAAAGATAGCCCTATCGAGTATTCAAATCGCGAGAATTATGGATCACTCGTGTTGGCCAAACTAATTTTTCCTCAGACACGCCTATAATAAGTCCCTCTAGCTTACCAATATCAGCGAGCATGTGATGGATCACAAGTATATCGACTCGCGCCATATTATACCTATTTTTGGCAAAGAAGGCCTGCACTACGGCTAGACTAATCGTAAAAAGATCGCTTTCGCGAGCCTGGAAGTCTGATGGGATAAAATCAATGATTTGCTAGTTTACTTTCTGTGCTGTTTTTGTGGTGGATATAGCTGCTCCGTCAGAATCCTGATTTCTTAGCTTCAAATTAAATTATGGCCGAGATTTAATGACTAGTATTTAAATCATCACAGTTTCTTACCTGATAGTAATCTTTATCGGCCAAAGCGCAGCCGGAGTATGACGGCTAAACAAGTGGTCTTTTCATATCCTACGTTCGCAGCTGTACGGGCTACTTTGGCCAAGCTTATTTCTCCCGTCGACATGGAATCTGATTCTTGAAAGATGAGTCAAAACACTTTTGTTATTTTTGGCCGGATTTTAGGGTCAAGAATCGAGTCGTAACTTGCTGCTGGGTCAGCTCTGTTGTTGAATTGACCTCTCTATCTGCTGAAGACGGTGATCAGAAGAAATAATTCATGACTAGATCGAAAAATTCTTCAGCAGCCTATTGATCAAGGTCTTTTAGATCATTTCGGTGCATATAATGGCTCAGGCTTACTCATCTTAGGGTCTGAACTTAGAGGGATGATTTTAAACTGCAGTCAGAGGACTGTGAATGATCGTGACATTTGTAAGAAATCTTTACTCTTCATCGCTGGAATCTATACCTATCAAACTCGAGATTGTTTGCATGGTAAAGCTTTGGTCAAGCTACGTCGTCTATTGTGTTGTAGTGCATTGATGAGGGCCGTTTCGGGTTGATTTGTTTGCTTTCACGGAAAAGTAAGTCTAAAACTAAAACGAAGTTCCGATGAAGCAAATGGGTGTTGGATTGTAGCAGATAGAGTTACCTTAGCTTATGCAGGAAGTGAGTAATGCAAAGAGTCATTCAAGGGCAACTAAAAAGAGTCACGAGGAGAATGATTAGCACTGCATCATCAGTGCGAGGAAATGGGCAGGTATCTCTGATGTTTAATTCAGGCTATCAAATGCTTCTATCTCTATATATAATGGGTCAGCGTGTAAGAGGTTTTCTCTTCACGCAACTTCTTTGTTTTTTACCCTTACAATGCATCTGTTTATCCATCTTTTCTTCGAGAAGACCATTTATCTATTTTTGAGCTCCTCATCAGCAAGGCTTACATGTAACCTCTACCGCAATTATTTGTCCATTCATCTCTTTCTAGAGAAGATCTGTGATACATTTGAGCTCTCTATTACCTTTACTTACCACCTTGTTCTTTATTAGGCTACATAATGCGTTCCGTGGAACACCTTCAAGACCTTACCCTCGAGATTTACCCAGATTTTTAAGTTGACATTTCAGGGAAACCCACATTGTCTCTGGAGAATTTTAGTCCTGATACACTATGGTGAGATTTTCATGCACTCTATTGTGACATTTAGATACCAGCAAAACAAATTTCTGTATACCAAAGTTTTCTTTAGATTAAGACAGTATTTATTTATTTGGTTTGAATTCGAATTTGAATTCATTTAACCCGATTTGGCGCCCTATGGGCCCATGCAGGTGGCTATGAAACTATCTATATATATACATGAGGGGGAAACCATTACGATAAAAACCCCCTCCTCCTGTAAGTTTTTATGTCTGTAGTCCTTCGTTACCTACATGAAGTGCAATTGACCTTTAGCCCGACACAGGACTAGCTAAAGTTGTATTCGACCTCGCCATTCTTTCCCTGCCCTCGCGTGCTGAAAAGTGATGACTGTGGCCTTGAGTTTGACCCCGATGGCGCAAATAGTGGAGGTGGTGGATTAACCAGGGGCTGTTTGCGCGGGCGTCCTGGCCCCCTCTTTAATACCTCCGGCTTTTGGTGGGACACCAGTGTGAACCCTTGGTCGTCTGTAGGTTTTGCCGCTGTTGTTAGTTGTGATGCCGCCGGTGACGTTTCCTCTCTTCTTAGATTTGCCGTTCTTTCCATGAGTTCATACCTGGCCTTTTGAGCGCTGGCCTTATATGACGCGAAGTTTTGACACGCCCCCTTCTGCCACGATTTATGGGCTTTGCCGCAGTTGCAGCAAAGCACCGACT